TGGTTTATTATTGTATTCCATATTTTTCAGTTTTACAAGGTTTAAAATTTTGAACAAGGTTTGTCAGCATAATATGCGAATAATAGTGGTCATTCCACAGTACTAGCAGTACAAATTCCATAAAATTACGTGTTTAAAACACGTTTTCATCGTTGTATGTAGAAAAGTTTTTAGTTATGCAAATTCTATGCATTTTCTTCCCATATTAGTTTGTGGAACCACAACGATAATCATTAGCATGATGGACAAATAATGGAATTTTTGCCGACATCACAAAGATCCTGGAAATTATCTGAAAAGCCATGCATGATTACACGGGTTCTCAAGGGAATGGAGCTGGTGGTCTCAGCCCTGTCACCAATGACTTCATCGACAAACTTTACATTGAGTTTCTTTTCACTTAGTTTATTGGCATGCCACAATGTATTTGCAGGCCTCATGAAAGCGTGATCCTAGTATGAATAATGAGACATTTAAAGGAATTTTTAAGTGGTTCTGTGATCTCATATGGCACTTTTTCAGACTAGGTGGTCGATGGCACACTTAAGAGAGTTCCAAATCTTCTTGGTTCTTTCGGTATATAATTAGTTTATTATGTTTTATTTTTATTATTTTATTATTTCCCTTCTACGTGACTTTACCGAAAGAACCAAGAAGATGAATCCCTGCAGTCACGAAAGCTTTAAATCGAGAGTTCCAAATAGAATTTTTTTTACATGACTGATGGCATGATTTTCATGGAATGATAAAAGCAAGAAAAAGGCATGATTTTGCATAAAAATTAAGTTGTATATTCAGGTACTGTGTATAGTCAGGGCCTCCCAGGGGAAAGGGGGGGGGCAAAAGGGGAAATTTTCTGTGTGCCTTGCACAGCAAAGAAGACCCCACAACAGGGGCTATTCTTTGTCGTTATTGAATAAGGGTACCTACACTACGTAGAATATATACCTGGGACTTTAGCCCTTTCCCCCGCCCTCCGTAAACCTATTGGTGTGTGCTGTAATTACACGGTATATTATGTTTTTAAAGTTATCTATAAATGTTTCCAGCAATATGTGTGCATGCAAGCTTTTTTAGTGTATCCATGCACAGCATTTGCGTGCTTGCAAAAAAAACCAGTTCTGCAAGATTCCATTTTTTTGTTGTCAAATATCTTAGCCGGTTTGGCTGTACATTTAACAGAAGCCTAGCAAATGTTGTGCCTGTATCCTTGCTGGTGTGTGTCGCGTTTAAGTAATCTAGATCAAGTGATGCCATCACACCCTGCTTTTGCCAAATTACTTGACCACCAATTCGTACCAGTATCCTACTATCTTAAGTTGGATTCACCGACCACTGGGTGCCACTTTGTCTGCCTGTATTGGTAACCCACAGACTCCTCCATCCTGCACACGTGCCCCGTCTGTCACAGCCTCTTCTTCCAGATTACATCTACAGCACTGTGTTTTTGCCGCATTCTATTCCAAACTTACAAATTGCTTCCCTGTGCTGCAATAACACATATGGCATCCTCTGCATGGACATGGATTCAAAGGCCAGAAGCTGAAGTTCAGCGTGGGTCTCAGTTTTTTTTCAGACAAGACCGCTGTGATAGTGCACATGAGCTGTCTCCATAGAAAGACAGCTTATGTGCACTATCCCACACAGTCGTAGTGATTTTAGCAATTGCAGCCTTCAAATTGTTAGTTTGACACGTAGGCTTATTATTTATAATCAAGGTTTTTTTGGTTTAGATTGTGTAAGTATAAATGTGTCGTTAAAGCCGCCACCACCCGGCATAGCCAATTAATAAGGTTTGTCATGTAAACGAAACGTGCCAACTAGTTACTACTTCAGCGCACAGGTGTGTTCGAGAATTCTGGCAAAATCGCCCGATGATGCTGGATGTAGTTACCAGCAAAACGTCGTACTAAAATTGAATGTTGTGGATTTACTCTCCCAACACACCGGTGTGCTGAAGAAGTAACTAATTTCCACGTTTTGTTTACATGAGGAACCTTACTAATTGTCTGTGCGGGTGGTGGCGGTTTAGCTACGCATTTATACTTAGGTGATCTAACAATAAAAAAACTTTGTTCAGATTGTTAGTTGAGCGCTGTAATCAGTGCCACCCAGTATTCAGCCTTTGGCCATCCACCACTGGATGAGGGCCTTCCCCGTTCCTTGCGGGTTATGATGGTTATCTGTCCGTACTTCATGCTCGTCATGAGGGCTTGGTGAAGGCTTGGAGCATAGATTTGGGAACATATAAATAGAGTACAACGATGGATTTTGCTTGACTGCTGTCTGATTTTAACGACAGCCCCATGTCCGCTTAACATTTGCTATACATGGTTGGTCACCTATTTAAACAATTCAAGCTCCATCCTGCTTAGCTTCTGAGATCTAATGAGATATGTTGTATTCTGGATAATTTGTCATCTATACTGTGGTATCTACTGTACATGAATTGTGCATGGGGTTTATTGCGTGGGTGTTTGCGTATCAGTGTTGTCATCTGCTTGTGGGTGCCTTTTTGTTTTTTGTGCACGAATCAGCCGAGCTGTGAGTTTAGGTGTGTTGATTTTAGCCGTGGTCGTGTATAGCATTTGTGAGTGAGTGTTTGACTAGTGTTCAGTGCGCTCAGCACTTAACCTGTAGGGGTGTTACGATTAAGATATTTTAATACGATTCTCAAGCTCACGATAATGCATGGAGTCAAGTGTAAGAAATCATCTTTTTTTACTTTGTATATATGTTGTATGTAATGGATTCAGATGACCCCTCCAGCCACTGCAGAATGTTATATTCACAACAATGTTATAAATATGATTACCGAATCTAATCGCTATTCTAAGTTGTGACAATGCATTGAATCACAAGGGAACATTTGGACAAATGATATGTTAATATTCTAATACCAATGTTCAGTGATATACTAATGGAACATTTAGACTTATGGAGCGAATAAAACTACAAACGAGAGGGAGGAAAAAAACCATAAAAACTACAAATGATGATGGTAAAAACAGAGATGAAAATAATCCATTCTTGAAATTCAAGTTGCGGAATTTTCTGAAGTGGCATTGCCATTTGACGCAAATTGTTGTAAGGATGGATTTCAAAGTAGTCACTGAAGGTGGCCAGATGACTCGGACAACAGCCACTGCTGAGTCGTGCCTACGTAACAACATATATTGCATAATAGCGACTCAGAGCTCCTTGTTTATTGATGCAATAGCCTACTTTCTAACGTTTTACAGTGACTTACAGCTAAAACCAAAAAATCTTCGTAACTATATAAACACTTCTGCAGGTCTGCTACCTTTGTTAAATAATAATTTGAAGCCCTCACTTAGGTTTAAGATAATTGTTAACTCGCGTGCTGATGTGGCTACAGTATACCGTGCTTCCGGCGTTTTATAGCTTGTGCAAAGTAGATAGGTTCAAAGAAAATAACAAAAAACTACGACGTTTCCGAAAGATCCAAAGAATATGAATTCCTGCAGTCACGAAAGCTTTAAGTCAAAAAGAGATGCAATGTGTTGCCTTGCAAAAGTGTTGTACTTGACAAGCAAGTCAGATAGTAGTGGGGGGGGGGGGGGGGTGCATTATGTAACTTGGTATTGACAACAGGCTGTAAAGAGTGAAACAAATATTTTAAAAGTTCTTAGAAACAAATAGAATAACTGATCATAATATGTGCACATTGCATCTAGCCGTTCCATTGACCTTGACATATTTCACTTGTTCTTTTTTATATGTCCAAGTATGAAATCGGTTCTCCCACGCATTGCACATTTCGCGACAGTAACTGACTTTTTGTTTGTTTCAGTTTACTTTTTAACATTGGTGCTTTCACACAACCAATATTATTAATTTGTTTTTTGGATTACATCATGTGGGCGTCGCTCGAATTGACATAGTATCTACGCTGTAATCCAGTAACGAATTCTGAATCGTTATTTAGTATTTGCTTATGTTCCGGGTTAACCACGTATTTATAAATGTTTATCAGATATATTTGGCAGATCCCCTAATCTACAGAACCACGAAGTTTCCTGTCAAAATATGTGGCTGGGTGACTTCGGGGATAATTATTGTGTATTTGGCATAGCATTACATCGCACTGTCGAAAATTACTTATCGTTTTGCTTGTTTATCTGGGAAAAGCCTCTGAGTCTCTATACAGCCTTTAATGAGGGTCCTGCCAAGTTCACAGTCAGGGGCACTGTTGCTATGCTTAACTCCAATTGAGTCGTATGCAGGTATTTTTCAGCACTGGGATGTGTGACCCAATGCCAATTACATTCTAAATAATTATTGTTAGCTATGGATGAAAACCGGAGAACCCAGAACAGGGGGAGAACATACAAACTCCACTCAGAAAGGCACCTCAGTCACGAACCTCACCCGTGACCTTCTGGCTGTGAGGCACAAGTGTTACCACTGTGCTACGCTGTAAAGTACGTGTACATTAACCCTTTCCTGTTCCGAGACGTGTCTGCAAGTTGCAGTGTGAGGGGTCCCGTTCCCCTCTGAATCTCTGAACGCGCAAGCGGCTCCTCGTTGATTTTACTTGGAGGCATAGCACTCTATGATATCTGGCGTCAAACTGTGCCACATGCCCTCTCCCGCATTGCCTTGTGGGAGGCTCGGTACCAATAAAGTTATTTTATTTTAGTTTTTCTTCCGGTTTCGTTTCGATGATGTACATGTATGTCATTGGAATGGAATCGGAAGAAAAACTGCAACGTGAAAGGGTTTTAATCAAAAGTTGAATTTGTCTCCCTCTTTAAATGACCGCTTGGCAGTGCTCATATCTGTTGGCAGTTCTGAGCCTAAGAATGAAATTTCCACATTCCTAAGGCAAGGGCACATTATGTAAATGTGTTTTTTTAGATCTATTTCGACAAAAGTGGTAATGATTGTAAATTGCTGTAGCCTGGATAAATAAAGCTTATTTACTTAAAAGTGAACGTGTTTTCATTGCTAATGTTGTGCAATTTTTGCTCTTGCAGGGCTTTTTCCGAGCATTGATCCTGGTAGGGTTTGTGTTGTTTTACATTGCATCGATTCATAACACCGCACTAGTTTTCTCATTCACTGAGACAAAGTTGTTGTCGCAGCACTCCCATGCAGAGATTGGAGGTGAAATTTAACGTCAATGACTTTTCCATCTCATTTAACGTAAAATCGGCACATTTATTAAAGCGTTCCTCAACACTCGCTCGTGCCGTTTGGTTTACCGATGGCATTTAGACACAACATATGGCAGTGCTGAATTGTTCCACGTGTTGTTCTTACCTTGAGTATGTTAAATATTTCCTGTGGGGGTCACACCTTCGGTAATTAGCTTCATCAATTTACAGAGTGGTAACGAATGAACACCCGAGGGCATTGCATCTCACCATGGAGTAGGCTGAGGTGATAAATACTTGTAGATGTCGCGAGCAGTCTTCTTTTGCAATCGATCTTTTAAGCTAATTGTATTGAATGTGAAAAAAAAATGTCAAAGTGCAATCGGTTTCCCACTAAACCTAGCTTGGGGCAGTGGTGGAAATTACACATTTCTAAAACGGGGGGGCGGGGGGGTGAGTTATATCCTTATCGCAATGATTGTTGATTGCCCAGAATTGCTTTTCAATCCATGAGCTTCGATGGGTTGAGTCAACTCCCGATTTGAACTGTTGAGCTTTTCCGATTGCAAGCTGTGCTTTAAACCACTTTGCCACCTGACCAGATTAATTTACTTCCATGCAGCATGTACGAGGCTTAGGATTGCTGTAATGAATGTCTGGAATTAATTTACTGGTTCCTGCCTCCTTCCTGTTAATCTCCTCGCTAACACCACTCTCCTTCCTTCCTCTATGCCTACATTAGTGTCAATGTAGTCGGCTTGTTTTATTTTAGTTATGGTCTTAGACTAGTAAATGGTAGCGTGTGGAAATTTTCACTTCATAATCTGTGGAGTTATTTTAATGATTCCTTCATTTTTTCAACGAAAGCAGCCAAAATGCAGTCCATGAGTAGCTATCAAAATTTGCCACGCTCACACAAATACTATCAAGTCAACCAATCGGTGAACTCTTTTTACAGTGGCTATATATTTATATATCCATTACCAATTTTTTAATTCCTCATTGCACTGAAGTTTAATAATTTTGCTAAGTTATAACAAGTGCATCTTAATTCAGACAAGTTAATAACATTTTTCGAATTTGGCTAATGTGGACCGAGATATTTGGACCCAAAGTCACTTATCCTCTGGACGTTCCATCTTCTTCAAACGCAAGACGACCCTGTCATTCTTCCCCAAACGTGCCTGTTCGACTCTGCTCTCTTTGTCTGGGCTGTGCGCACAGGCGCCCTGGAGAACATGCTGGCTATGAAGCCGCCACAGCTGGAGGTGTACGAGCAGCCCAAGTCGCGCGGCATGCGCTTCCGCTACGAGTGCGAAGGCCGCTGTGCAGGCAGCATCCTGGGAGATCGAAGCACGGACAGCAACAAGACATACCCGGCCGTCAAGGTGAGACACACTACGAACCATCAGATGGTGAGACACCTGACAAACCATTAAGGTTACAACCATTAAGGTGAGACACCTGATGAACCCTCAAACGGTGAGGCACCCAACGAACCATCAGACGTCAACATACATACAACATATTGTCTTGATGATGAACTGTCGGATGATGGCATAACACAGGTATGTGCAGGTATCAGTCATATGTGGGACCTGATTTGCCAGGATCACAATATTATCAGAGCATTTTTGCTGGCATGTTTTGGCACACGTATGCGTGGTTAATGCAGACTTGATGTCTTGCAATAGGTATCAATTTGGTGTTTGAACATCTTAATACCTGATTTATTGCCAGAATGGTTAAAGCCTATTCTTATTTTCTTTCATCAATCAATTTTTATTTTATGTGCCAATATCGCCCTTGGTAAAATAAGCGTCACTGCACATTACGACGGAATGGGAAGGGTACGGGAAGGGTACGGGGAGCATACAGCAACAGGAATGTAAACAGAAACCCTGTCGGGCCCTCAGCGGCTAGCACCGACTGAGCAAAGTAAATTGCAACCGTGCGCAAAATAAAATGCAACCATGACATGAAGATGATGATACCCTCTTAGGTGGCACCCTACCACAAGAACACCCTCCTAAATGAAGCCCTACCGCCGGGCCAATGTGCCGTTTTGACACCGCCAGATAATTCCCCATCACGCCAACACGCGTTCTCGCGACGACGCGCTGTCAAGTGAGCGGAGGGCCTTGCCACAAACAAACAGCACTGTCATGATTTCATGCCTTGCTCTACGAATGCGCTGTAATGAAGACACGCTATCAGATGACGTCCGACCACGGAAACGTGCTGTGTTGATGACGAACTCTCAGGTGGCGCTACATCACAGCAGTACGCCGTCATGATTTTGCACTTCAAGGTGAAGTGTTAGCACAGTGCCCGGCATGTAAACTTCCATTATCTTGAAATAATTTATATAGCGCCTTATCCAAGGCGCTTTACACAAAACTAACAATCGTACAGATGAATGTAATGGTGGAGATGAGGTGAATGAAATAGATGAGGGGAAGCAATGGGGGAAATCTGTGATGCGTGAATTCGACGAAAGCGAAATTGATGGCAGTAAGTGATGACGAATGGATTGAATGAATGAGGAATGAGCGATAGCCGTATAATGAAATTATGAAGAGGGAAAAGTAACGGTGGTGGCGGTTATGAGGGGGAGATTAAGGGGTCATGGGGTGAGTTAGGGAAAATAGGTGAGTTTTGAGTGCGTAGCGGAAACTAGAAAGCGAAGGTGACTTGAATGTGGATCTTGATACGGGGGGGGGGCGATTCGTTACATTCCTAACGTTGACAGCCTCACGATCTGCCATGTGCGTGTTGAGTTTGAGATTTGTGTTTGTCCACGAGGCTAAGTTATTGAGTTTTGAGTTGACCGAACGACTTATCGCCGCAGCTGGTGAACTGCACTGGGCCGGCCAAGGTGCGCGTGTCGCTCGTGAGCAAGAATGACCCGCACCGGCCTCACCCGCACAGCCTGGTAGGGAAGGACTGCTCGGATGGTGTGTGCGAGGTGGACGTCTCCTCGGGGGTCACCATCGTGCAGTCAGTACTGGTGCACTGCACTCAAAACGTGCAGAACAGTGCATACCACACGCTGGGCCCGATACACAAAAACGCCACACTGTACAAACACGCCACATGCCAAACGCGGCACTAGGCACTCGTCACGGAGACACACTGTATTGGGCACACATCGTGCCACACACTGTACTGGATACAACACACTACCCTCAATAGATCGCACACTGCACAATGCAGCACACAAAACACAGTGCACAACACAGACGATGCTACACACAGCATGTTAACTTAACTCGCCACACAAAACACTGTACACTTACCACTGCACCCAGCACACGTCATATGACGTGCTGCACACAATACACCACACACAGCACTTGACACATGAAATGCCACACAATACAATGCGCCACACTCGCAGTACACACCACACACGGCACTCAAAATATCACATTGCATACAACGGGTTACGCACATCACATTACACACCAGACACAAAATGGCACGGCACAATAGGATAAACCACGTAAAAAACTAAAATTGGCATGGTCTTGAGACTCAAGAGGGCCTTTGCCAGGAAAACAATAAATAAATATATCAGCATACTTCCTAGTAAGGAGTTGAATCTGCTTATCATCCCTCCAGGAATCAATAACACGAGTACCGCTTCGTGGAAAGTTTACACCGCCCAGAGTTTTGGAGGTGACGCGGCCTAGCCGTAAGCGCGCTCCATTCGCCGCGAGTGTGGAGGTTCACAACTCGATTCCAGCGGCCACCCTGGTTATTGCTTGCAGGTGTATTAACTTTCAAAATACACGCCACATGATTCGCAGTGGACAGAGCAGGCCAGTTTGCGCTGGCATCACGGTCCAAATTTGGCAAGTTTCAATTATGGCCCACAAACTAATCAATTGGAATGTAACATGGCAATCACCGTCCCACCGTCCGTGAAAGCTTTGCAGAACCCTCCTGAAAAGAACATCGAATTTATACCACTGCCTCAGTGTGATGGCTCGTTAAAGCAATTAGACACTTTTAATTTTATATAAATGTTTAGGTATGTATTTGTAACTTCTTTCACACCGTACGTAGCCAACCGTGCTAATCGGAGGTGTGGGATACAATTTGTTTTCAAAACAACGCTCTGTGTGCATAGTTTTCATATCAATAATAATGTCCTGTTGCCTAGTTTTCTAAACGGTGTTCCCAATAACTCTGTTCTAGGTTCCAAAATCTGGGCATTCAGTGCGTGAAGAAGAAAGAGGTTGCAGATGCCCTGAAGCTAAGGATCCAGAAGAACGTGAACCCTTACAAAGGTAACGCATCATCCTGTACACCCGCTTTCCAGCGATCTATTATTCTTTACAACTACAACATTACAACAACAACAAACAAAGCAGATGGGTGCGAGCACGTGTGTGATGGGTCATTGCCTCCGCACTTTGTACATAGCAGTCCAGTGCTCGCCAAGCTGCATTGGCTTCTGGTTGCCAAACTATTGCTTAAGGTCGCACTCATTCCACACAAAGTGCTTGCCATAAGGAACCAACATACCTTGCTTATCTCGTCAAGGAGCATAAACCATCACGCGAACTCTGGTTATCCTCACAGCAGCGGCTTTTGGCTTGCCTTCGAACAAAGACTGGTCACTGCATCGTGTGCTTTCAGATGCGCTATCGTGGCCGTCTGGAACGCTCTTTCTACCGATATTAGGAATCCTCTTTTGCTGTGCACTTTTCAATCTAGATTGAACACTCATTTCTTTAAAACTGCTTTTCATGTTTAGTTTGTTGTCCTCACAAGCCGCGCCTCCCGAGTTGGCACGGTTGGCGACGTACGGTGCGAAAGAAGTTCTGCATACATACATGCGTACCTTGTCTGCTGGCCGCAGTGCCAGAGGAGCAGGCCCTGGCTACAGAGGAGATCGACATGAACGTGGTGCGGCTCTGCTTCGAGGCATTCATCCACGAGCGTGGTCGCGTCATTGCCCTGCCACCCATCGTCTCCCAGGAGATCAGAGACAAGAGTAAGCCGCCTCTCTTTAGCTCTTTCCGCACCTCAGATTGAAGGCGTCAACACAGCGGTTCGCACTCAGCGCGTGGGTTGCATCCCGCCTATAATAGGTGTGGATACTACCGTGCAGGAGAAATTTAAAAATGTGTTTCTGGGGAACGTCGGCACCACGTTTCTCGGCGACAAAAGGCACTCGTTCACAACGTGAAAAAAATGCCTCGATGTATTGTGGCCTGCGTAACATGGGGAGAGGCATTGGGACCGGTGGGTCTTGATTTTGCAGGGCCCCCCATATCAAACCACTGCTTTTAATGCATTAGCTCAGTGTAACGTGAGGACATGAAAATGCCTGCAGAGATCCAATATGGGTAAAACTTTAATTTAACGTTGTGTTATGAAAAATAACTTGCCTAAAAGACAACCGGCCATATTTTATCAATGGTTACCCAAACATTAATAAGCTTTTTGCCCCCGATACTGACCAGTCACCTGCTTTCCTAGTGATAAAAGACGTGCGCTTTTTTTTACGTGTTACAGACTCCATTAACTCGGCATTATTTTTCCTAACTTTTTTTTCCTGCAGAGGCACCGAACGTTTCGGAGTTGAAAATCTGCCGTGTCAACTTGAATGCTGGCAGTGCACGTGGTGGGGATGAGGTTTTCCTTTTGTGCGACAAAGTTCAGAAAGGTCAGTTTGGATGTACTCCCCACCCCCCCCCCCACCAGCCTCGTTTTCGTTGTGGTTCAAAGATCACATCTGTCATATAAATATAATTTATACTGGTAGGAATCTCCTGGTTACACCAGCCCACAGGGGATTATTGTGTCCGTCGTGCAGGGAGGGTGGGGAGGGGCTGGGTGGGGAGGGTGGGGAGGGGCTGGGTGGGGAAGGTGGGGCTGGGTGGGGGGTGGGGCTGGGTGGGGGTTGGGGCTGGGTGGGGAGGGGCTTGTCACCCTGTGGTGCCCATATAAAACTCAACGTTTAACCTACTCACGCCGGCTTGTGCCCACCCTCACAGTCAGGCATATTTGCGGAATACACCACGCCGCCGTTGACCCTGGCCATTGACCGAGCAACCCAACGTTCCTACTAGCTCCCTCCGCAGGAATGTGTTGCTATAAGAAAATTGTTGTTCCTACCAATGGTGTTATTAGTAGTGCTTATCATTTGTGTTGCTAGTAGCAAGAATTTTCAAAATGGGATTTCTATACCCAGTGGAGCTGATTTAGGAATCGTATCATGCAGAACAACACTTTTCACTTGTCTTTGCATCTTGACCGTCGGTGTCGCCATTCACTGCACTTGATCATTTTTAACATTTGGCAAATCACTCTTAATGTTAAGAATCATGAAGTCCAGTGGACAGCAACACCGACCGTCAAAGAAGCAGTCTTTACTGAGAACGTAATTGACCCTTTTTGTTGTTTGTGCGTTTCCGCGTGCAATGAGCAGAAGACATTGAGGTGCGCTTCTTTGAGCCGGATGGCAGCTGGGAGTCACGCGGCAGCTTCTCGCAGGCCGATGTCCACCGGCAGGTTGCCATCGTGTTCCGCACACCGGCGTACCGCGATCCGGGCATCACGCGTCCCGCCAACGTGCGCATGCAGCTGCGACGGCCGTCGGATGGAGAAGCCAGCGAGCCGATCGAGTTCCGCTACATCCCAGTCGACCCCGGTGCGTCCTGTCGATCGGACGCATTTTGGGATGGCGTGTTTTTTTTCTTTTCATGGTCATATGCAAGATCATCGATTATTGGGCTTCTTCCAACATTATCCGGTGGTCCTGGTGAAACCTGCAAAACCGCTTCAAAGGCTGTAACCAGACCGGCGATCGGCATCATGTGTGTGACAAAAAAAAGTAGCCATACTTCGGTGTTAAATATTTGATACAGTACATTATACACTACATACAACTTCAACAATGACAATACTGCACGCATGTACATCCCATGCAGAGTAGTCTTCAAGATTGGAGTGGTAAGTACGGTATAGTAAATACAGTAACTTTTTAAAGTAGGATATGAATTCTGTCATTGTATGTTTATGCCGATTTACATGTAGTAAACACATTTAAAACACAAAAAACATAACACCTAAAACACGTCGTACAAGAATGTGCAAAAATAAGCTATTTTAAATAATGATTCGTGATTATCCGCTGTTTTTGAAAATCCGGCGCCCCTCCCCCCCCGAAGCCACCGGATAATTGATGATCTACTTCATGTTGAATTTCTTAGGCACCATACGTAGACAACGGTACTAATCGGAAGTGCGGGGGATGGACAAACATTGTGGTTGGTGAGCACAGGCCCAGAATCACCAAGCGGCCAGCAACATGCATCGCTATTCAAGGTGTAATAGAGGAGAGTCGATATACGTTTCTTGACATGAGCAAAGTTTACGGGGACTTGGGAATAGACGCAACGGGAGGATTTGTGTGTGTGCTTGTGTGTATGTGCACGTGGGGAGTGGTGTTTCACGCAGTGTGCTTAGGTTTTATTTCCGGTCATGGCTCACATCAGTGGTGATCATCTAAACTTTTCCTTGCATCACCCCGGTCGATTAAGCCTTAAAATTAGTATCTTTTGTGTCGCAACATTTACAATCTTGGCTCTCCAACACACCGGTGTGCTGTACTAGTGACGAATTGGCAACGTTATGTTTACGTGACAACCCTTACAAGTTGGCTGTGTCGGGTGGTGGCGAGTTTAAACGACACATTTATATATTTACGCGATCTAACCAAAAATAACTCTATTATGGATGACATTGGTCGCGAAAGCCTACGTGTTAAACTGACCTTTTTATATGTTCCATTGCAAGGCAATGTATCATATATTTGTAGTCCTCACAAGAGATGTGTGGCAATGTAAGTTAAAACCCAAATGTGAATCCGTAGATTTTTGGTTGCATGCATTTGTGCTCCAACTGAGGCCTTTAACCCCATTCACACATGGCTGAAACATGGATTCAAACTCAAGTATCTCAGCGGTGCTGACTCAGTGCTCGGGCAATGAGTATAAGCCACTTTTACTGAGCTGGCTGCCTCTGACTTGTGTGTATCACGTCATGTTTTCGTTATCACATTTCTTGTCAGATCCCCACAAGCTGCAGGAGAAGCGCAAGCGAAAGGCCGATTCGTTTGACAAATTCCTGGAAAGCACCAACATCACCGGGCTCGGGACTCCGTCTGGGAATATTGCGGAGAGGAAGGTGGCCGTGAGCACGACCAGTTCGCAGAAATCCAAGGATCTTCTCCGCCAGAAGATTCAAGATAAAAGTACGGCTTGACACAAAGTTCTTCCACTACCACCAACACCGCAGTGTGAAGGGAGCGCTAGGCTGTCGGGTTTGTGTGCGCGTGTATATGTATCTGTGCAATTACCTGGTAAATGTGTAAACATTGTCACTCGGCAGACAAAGGCGGCCAGGCTTGGTGTTGGCCACCCATCCCCCCGTGTGCTGTACTGGCCTTCATAGTTGCTCGCTAACAGCATTTGCCCCAACCATCTTTTAAGGCTATACGAGGGATCTTTGTGCCATTCCTCGCCTCCTCATCAATAGGAGTTGAAGAATGTTCATGGCTTACACCCCCACAGAAGATGACCATCACTGGAGTGGCAGTGTAGTGGTTCGTGCGCTGCGCGACAAACTCGTTCACCCGAATTCGATTCCCGTTCACAGCCAACACCAGTGATGATTATCTGAACCCAGTCCTGGGTCTCCCCTAGGTCGTCTCAGCTGGTGTGACGTGTAAATATCAGCACTGGGGAGACAAACGCAGCCTGGCATGGTGCTAACTACTCGCCCCATTGTGTGCCGTGCCGTCCTAAATAGGTGCTCGCTAACAGCACTCTCGCCAACATTCTATTAAAGGCTATACGGGAAAACTTTATATATCTAAGAAGTGTGGGGAGGAGTAGTTAGTGCGCCGCGCTACGATCACAAGAACGTGAATGATATCAGCGGCAAAAATGTGAACTAATAAGTACCTGGTGTGTTATGTGTAAATATCAGCACTGGGGAGATGAAGGTGGCAGAGTACAAAGCTGGCCACACCACCCGCACACACCCTCTTGCGTGCCGTATCGACCTTGAACTTTGCTTGCTAACGTTACTTGTTCTAACAGCCTTTGTATCTCTATGGGCTGTATGAGTCGCTTGAAACCTGTGGACTGCCGTTTAACAATCGGTTGAAATTGTCACTGGCTGTAGATGATGTGTAACTTAGATAAGTGCAGCTTCTAGTTGTGCTTGTGGTAGCATTCCAAATCTTACTGAGCTGTAAGGAAATTTCTTTTGGATTTTGGAAGCCTTGAAGATTAAGGGACATTTTTCACGTCTTGATGAAATGCTCATAATGCACCGATTTTTTTTTGTTTACCACTAGATTGGTAATGGATACATTGGCATAATTTTACTGAAAGTACATGAAAAAAAGTAATTAGCTGTTATTTCAAATTAGGCAACTTTTTCAGCAAACAATTGACCACACAAATTATAGTTCTGCAGGTTAATTTTGAAGGTAATTGTCTAGTTTTAGAAAATATGCCTTCTATATGAAATACTTGAATGGTTTAATACATAAATTAAAATGCACCATTACCATCCCAGTGTGGATTAATAAGTCACTAAGTATGTCGGACGCCATCGTATTTTATGAGCGCTTATCAAGAATGGCGGATAAATTATTTGAAAATTAATTAATAAAAAATTAGTCTGCTCAAGGATAAAAACTACTTTGTAATCGTACTAATTAATACCCACGCCCAAAACCGTGGAATTACCCTTGCATTCAGGCCTAGTTACTCAAGTCGGCTGCCACTGGGCAGAGCGCAGTTAATTTAGGGTTTAAAAAGGACCACCGTCCCGCCTGGGTGAATAATGTTTGTTAATAAATTAACATTATTTCCGCTTTCTCTAAAGTCCGCAGCAGTCATCTTGCAGAGTTTTCACCACCGGTTCAGGGCCTCCGTTGCCACCGAGTGCTGCCCCAGTGCCTATGTGATTGAGGAGACGCTTATCAAAGTGAAAGTGTGATCTTACAAATCGGCGTATCCTGGAACTCTGTTGTCTCAGCCCAAGAAGCCTCCTTCATGCGGGGTGCTGGCTTCGTCTCCTCCCCACGCACGCCGCCAGCGTCCGCCGGCTACGACGCACAGCCCTCCCTGAGCGGCGTCACCGTCGCGTCATCCGTCCATCCCACTATGCCTTCGTCGTCGTTGTCGCTGTTGCTGCCCGCGGCAACATCAAAGGCGCCGTCGCCCGGTCACACGGCACACCACAGCTCTGTAACTGTGAGCGCCAGCCCCAGCGTCGGCTCCGTGCTCGTGCTTGGCGCAGGCGGCGGCCAATACTCGCAGAGCGCGCTCGCCAGTGACATGCAGGGCCTCAACGTCACCGAGCTGAACCCTGTTCGGCCGTCGGCGGCAGCGTCGGCAGCGGCGCAATCGAGGGCTGCCGAGAACCACACTCCCCTGACGTCATTCGACATGCCTGCCGCGACAGGGGGCGGCATCGACAGCCTGACGGCCATGAGCTTCAGCGAGTTTGAATTCCTCGGCAACGACATGTACCCGTTCGTGCCCAATGAAGACTTGGTGATATTCGCCACACCGGCCTCGCCAACGCTGCCCACGCAGCACGTGCCGCTCACCAGCGCCGCCGCCTCCGCCACGACCGCCGCCGCCGCCACAACCGCCACCGGCACACCCGACCCAGACCAGACGACGTCGGTGAGCCAGCTGTCGCAGCAGCAAATCTCCGACGTGCTCAACATCATCCGAGACTCCATGCGTCATCAGCACGATGGCGCCACTGCCCCGGAAACGGCCGCGGCAACCGGTGCCGCCCAGGCGAACTTTGCGACGAATGCGCCCGACGGGCGGGAAATGCCGGCTTGGTCCGGCGGTGCAGTGAACGCGCAGTCGCAATTACATTCGCAATCGCCTGCGCCCGATCAGTCCCTGCAGGCGCCGGGAGCCGCCTACCCGGCAGGGCAAACTGTCTCCGGCCTGGGACTCGGCTACTTGTCGTTTCCCGACGATATGCGCATGGAGAGCCTGGAGCGGCTCGACAGCGCCGAGCTCAACCGGCTGCTTGAGACGGTGACCATGGACATGACCAACAACGTGGGCAGCGCTGACGGATTCTTGTAGGGAAATGGCGCCGCCCGTGAATGGTTGTTTATCGATGGCGGCAAACGACCTTTATTTATAGGAAAACAGCCTGGGGTGTTGGCGGCTGTGGTCAGGTTCGCAAGTTGGAAGAGTCACGAGTTTGAGAAAATATGATTCGGTGTCGACTCGACTGATTTCTTTTTTTTTACCAGTTTGGCTTGCTCATTAGGAATTTGATGGTGGTCATCTTGTAGATTAAAACGCACACCGGGCATGGGAATCGACTTTGCACCACTGGGCTCAGAAAACTGGCTCGTGACTGAAACGGAGATGAGCAACCACAACATGGCCAGTTTTATTTAGAAGTAAGATACATTGATTTATTTGGGAATTATCAATGAATCTCAGGACTTTAAAAAAGTGTCATGCCTTCATATGTTTGGCCATTTACTTTTTTAGTGCATGCTTAAAGGTAAAAAAATGCACACTTTTAAGAAACTACAAACTCGCTTTGTGGTATTGCAATATCCTGATCAGCTGACGGTCGTGTGATGATTTCTACATAGTCCCAACAACCCCACCTCTACGAAGTTCTGGGTTACAGAGGTGTGTTTGTGTGTGTGTCATGCCCGAAGTTTTGCCTCGCTGTTGTACAGTCGCGAATATTCATGGCGTGTTGTTCTGATGTATTTTCGGGCTGCCGTAGTATGCGCTGCGCTACAATGATAGTGGCCCTACGTTTTATTCATCCACTGGTACCTCTGATGACCCGCCGCCACTATCGTGCAGAGTATCCATGCCGGATGATCATCGTAGGTTCTCTTGTGGTAGGATACAGTGTGGGGATCTTGCAGTTTGTTGAAAGGCAACGTGGGGAAGTTCACTTGAAGTCTCTGGATAGAGGGAGGCTACTCCTTCCACTGTTCTGGTATAAAGACTGTTATACTTACATGCTGAGCTATACTGAGCATAATTGTCTTTTGCTGCCCTCTGCTGATGTATAGGCAAACACAAAGGTCCTCAAATCCTTTGACTTCTTGTGAGCTTCTTCTTGGTTCTTTCGGTAAAGTCACGTAGAAGGGAAGTAATAAAATAATAAAAATAAAACTTCCCTTCTACGTGACTTTACCGAAAGAACCAAGAAGATGAATCCCTGCAGTCACGAAAGCTTTAAATCGAAATTCTTGTGAGCTATCACACCTGAGGATAATGAATTATCCCTTCAAATCGTACATATGGGCAAGACTGGATCGAGTTTTAGACTGAAAATCTAAAAGTTTAACTTTCAAAAACCCAGTTGGGGGAAGACTTGAGTGCATTTTTTCACCAGCTCTCCGATGTTTATTCATGTTGTGCCGTGTTGTTGCTCGTCACGATGTCCGACGTGTCTCTCCAAGTACGAGGAACTTCTTCAGGAACGGAATTGAATTGAAGCTCCCACAAGCATCTGTGGAGCATATTGAGTGGTGAAATTTAATGAGTGAAGATCACAGGAACTGTAACCATGGTAATAGTGATAATAGACTGTTAAGGAGGCCACCTATTGAGAACTTATTGAGTGGGCTGAACTGTACCAGCAAGTTCTGGAATCAATCATAAACCCGGACTGCTTTTCTCTTCAACTCTATCACGTACAATGAGGGTGGAGCTGGGAAATCCAGCCCAGATTTAACATTTGTTCGACCTCTGAGGGGTGGGTATTGAGCCTAGTTGACCCCCCCCCCCCCCACCAGAATTTGTATTCGCAAATTATTTTTGTTGAATGGGAACTGTAATCGCAGCCATGCAGCACTAACCAGCCAGGTTTTTCAAGCACCGTCCCGTAAGTAAAGAATACTATGTTTAAAAAAAATCCCATTTTGTGAAATCCTTTGCTTTACTTTGTTTTGACATTAGTTTTTAGGAATTCCGCTGCATGGCTGACTGGTGTTTTTAAGGCACTAAGTTCCGTATACACAATGCGAGTGTAAATACTATCGCCATGTGTCTTAATTGTGGGCTGTGGTGGTTGGCGATGATGGTCAGTGGTGTTAAACACTCTTGCAAAAAAATCTAAAGAATTCGGAGCATGCCGATTAAATAAGCCATCAACTTAAAAACACGGCTGTAAGATTCTAAACAACAGGAAAAGCGCTGATAATCGCATGCACGTGGCGTGTGAAAATGCTGAACGTGTACACGTTGGCAAACTAAAACACAAAAGAAATCGACAGACCACGAGTTGCAACGTACATTTTTATTCTCGATGCTGTATAAGCATGGGGGGGGGGGGGCATTTTTAGCGCATTGAAAAAAAATTGTTACGGGAAGTGAAACTGGTTTCTCCTCTCAGAGACGTGGGCATATATGGCAAGACTCGTGCTAAAACCTGAATCAATCGTACACGGTTGATATTTCGTCACTGTTGCATGGTACTCGAATGTAGTGCTAGACGATATCATCGAAGCATTGCAGGCAGTCGAGCGTACCAATGGTTGCAAAACTTCTTGCGGCTGTTTAATTTATTTCTTTCGAGGCCAGTTTTCATGCTACATTACTCCGATTTCTACGCAAGCACGCAAATGGTCCACCAGGGCAAGATTCTTCTCATTTGGCTGCCCGGTGTCACGTGGTTGAAATTCCACATTCCTCGGTGTTTACTTAAGAAGACTGTCAGCGTCCCACAAACCAGTTATTTTACAAACCTGTCAACCCCTTATCAGTGCCTGCCTTACTACAGACCAATTCAGACCTTATTGGTCACACCGTGCCCGTATGAATCTCAACGTTAATCCAACAAAGTCCCATCATAAGGGAGATACACAAACACATCGAATTTAGTTTGCCCGTATTGAAACGGCTGTACGCCGTAAGGACCTGAACTCCATTTCCCTGTACAAGAATACGGGTAAACTGTGTGGGTTGACAGGTATGATTTTTTTTTATCAACCCTGAAGTGATAATAGGTTGTGAGCTAAACTCTCAACTGTCATTTTTAAACTCATGATAGTGATACTTGGCTGGAGAAATGCTCGCTAACTCACCAAGTCTGTTGCTGGTGCTATTATTGCATGGCACACAATGGGCCTCTGTTAACATCTGCGATAAAATTAAAGTGGTTGTCGCAGGATTAAACGTTGGCATTTTTTTGTAAAGCCGATTCACACCTTTACAATGTGTCCTTAATAAAATACGTCGCCCACTAAATTCGGTGAACGCTATAACGGTGCGCAGTGATATGTGGCTCACAATCGGAACCACTTTGTGGAAAGTCCTCTTCACAGAATTTCCCCTGCCATAGAAATGCAGAATATCCACCACGGGCTGTAAGCAGGAGATGAGTGCTGCAAATTTATGTTTTTGTTACTTTAAAATTAGGTAGAAACTAGTCTCCTAAAAGCAATTTTTAAGATTCTGAGCCTCAAACCTGGACCTTGTGTTTCGCCAGTGTTTTAAACTTCCAGATGTGAGCAGTTGAGTGATTTGTGGTACAGTCATCAATGTTGACACATTTTCACTATCTGTGGCCATTTTGTGGGTTTTATTTTTTTAATTAGTGGAAAGTTTTTTTTATTAAAAAGAACTGGAAAAGTTTGGAATTTTAAATACTTTATAACGAAATTGCAGTTAACACAATTGGAACCTCCTCTGCCAGTAGCAAAATAAGATAATTGGTTTTTACCCTTTTATCTGGCAACAAAACTGACACCTTTTTTTACAAGGAGTCATGTTTCCATTGACCACAATACCTGCGGTCGGAATGCAAACAAAAAACACAACCCTGATAATGTATGCACTATCCTTGAAATTGATTGGTCCACACCCGAGACAGCTTTCCTTAGAGCCTAGTCTCACATGGTGTTGGACCAGATGATGATGCCTTTTGGCCTTTTGGCGTCATCTGGTCCAACACCATGTGAGACTAGGCTCTTAAGAAAAGCTGTTTCGGGTGTGGACCAATCAATTTCAAGGACAGTGAATACATTATCAGAGTTGTGTTTTTTGTTTGCATTCCGACCGCAGGTATTGTGGTCAATGCAAACATGACTCCTTGTAAGAAAGGTGTCCGTTTAGTTGCCAGATAAAAGGATAAAAACCCAATTATCAGAAATTGCAGTTCTGCTGTTTGTCTCATCGCAACTTATTGTTTTATCATCGGTGCACTATCGTGCTGTTATAAATAACACGCGTTGCCTTCCTTGTACATAATACTTTTCATTTAATTATATATTTTGGTAGTTCTATAAAAGCATATTGGTTTTAATCTTGCACTGAAGATGTTTTTTTTAGATCCATTATTTTAAAACCTGGTGTATGTGATTTACAACTTAAGTTAAATGTACAGCATTGCAATTTTTGGCACGTTTTAAGCAAGCAAATCTGTGTCCTTATTGGTTTTGTTCCACTACTGCCATTCAACCTGGCCTGATTTTAAAATGCCTCGCACACTTTGGAGTAATGCATGGAAATCGATAACATGAAGGTGAACCTACATGTTAATACAAAACGGTGGAAGTTAGGCCAAAAACATTGGATGAGATTGTAGATTTAGCTGGTAAACGATTTACGTGCCTTTTATGTTTCGGCCATTACAGAGGCCTTCATGAAGAGAGACGTTGACTCCAGCGGCTTGTAATGTGATTTGTATCGTATTTTGCGAGACTGATTGGAGTTGGCGGAGCAAAATGAAATACTAAAAGTGTTTTTTCTGTAAACAACTGCTGTTTTAAATCAATCCTAACATGAGTTATAGGACTGCATTCATAACATGCTTTCTAATTTCCCCCATTTGTTTAAAATAAAAGTTGTGCTTGTGTTATTTACGTCTCCCCCCCTCCCCCCCCCTTTAGGTATCATCCACTTGATGTAAAAGCATAACTTTAACTTGGATGCAGTCTTGAGGGAGAGACCGGTCCATAGTATGCTTTTTTCGAGATTATTTGTCTGAACAGGTAGTTAAGGTAGCATTTGAACAACACTTCGCCATGTAAGCTCGCCTGTTAATCGTGACTCCCACCGCTCTAAAGGAAGCGTGCTGTGCTTTGTGACCGCATGCCGTGAACGTGCAGAGAAGCCATTCGCAGACGACGTTCGTTCGGCGCCTGCACACGACTGCAAACTTGAGTGCGTGTCAATCTAACGCGTTCACGCCTTCACAGCCATGGGTGATCAATCCAGTGGCGGGGTGGCGCAAAAGCTTGGGAGAAGAAATTGCTCGACACGTAAGTCCCACTTGGGAAACCCACACTTGAAATCGTATCCGTTGGCAAATCCATAGCGACTTTGTCCTGTCTGTTACGATTCAAGTCGAGTCCTATGCCTTAACATGCAACGCAGGCTGCCTCGCATTAAAAGGGAATAATTGTAAGTGGTTGGCCGACTGTAAAGTCCAAAGGAGATTTGGTTATAGTGGTCTGGAACATGAAACTTTTAATGGGGACATGAAAATGTGTTTTTGCGAGTTTTATGGGCTTTAACATTCGACTGCTCTAAAGCCATCTTGAGAAAATATTGGTATTGGATGTAATTTGTTCCAGCCCATGTCTTTGAAACCTTACGTAGCATGCATGCACAATGAGCCACTTTTGCTTATCGGGAGTGGAGTCTTAGCACTTTCAGTTGTTCCATAGGAAGTCTTGTGGCTGTTGTGTTAAAGGGTGTTCAGAGTTTATGAAATGCTTTGATCTATGCTTTAATACCAACAGAACATGGAAATGTGGACTTATGAATCAGGGACACAATGCAGGAGTAATTAAATCATTTTCTTGAATTACAGGCATGTTTATTTCTCATCACTGTCATATCTGGTAAAAATGTTCAGTACATTGTGTGCTTTGTATATTGACAAATAAATCATAGTTGAATAAAATAACAATTGCCTTCGATGCCCGCATTAGCTTTTCTTGCAAAGGTTAACTATAGGCATGTATGAAGTCACATATTTTTGCTCAAACAGACCCAAAGAATAAGACCATGAGTAATGCTCAAATTCAACGGTCATTGCTATAAGGTACACATTACGACAGTGGGAACCAGTGTATCCATGAACTCGCAACCACCTTCGAATTGAATCAATCCCTCACCTTGTGCCGCTTGGCCAAACAGACAAGACTCGCTGTGATTTACAACCGGTGTGCCGCTGTGGCAAAGTCCTCTTGTGTGCCACGGGATTTTTGGGATTGCAGGAAAGGAAAGGACCTCACTGTCTGCAAGCTGGGCAGTCGAACGCCTCCATGCCGTTCAGTGGCTGATCCAGACTCCCCCCCCCCTACCGCCCTCCCCTCCCATTGGGCGCTCATGCAGCAGTACAGCCCCCACCTACCACCTCCCACTCTCCCATTGGTCACTCTTGTTCAGTACAGGCCCCACCACCTTTCTTCCATTGGTCGCGCATGCGCAGTACAGCCCCAACTTACCACCCAACCTCTCCCATTGATCGCTCACACGCAGTACTGCCCCACCTACCGCTCACCCTCTCTTCCATTGGTCGCTCAGGCGCAGTACAGCACCCACCAACTGCCCTCCCCTGTCTCCAATTGGTCGCTCACGCGCAGTATGGCAGACGACCATCAACCCCCGGCCCTCTCAACTTCCTCGGCCGTGCATGCGCGTTTGGCCAAATAGCCCAAACCACTCACCCGGAGGCCTTGGGGGCCCACGGTGATTTTTTAAAATCTTTTATATTAAGTTCGCTTGCTTGCTTACGACCGTACAAATCTTTCGGTCGTTTTTTAACCCACTTCCCGTGATCCAATCGAGCTGACATTTTCCACACAGACTCGTTGTGCGTGACAGTTAATGTTCGTGAAATTTTTTTCCCAAAATTTTACACTTTTTAGGACAAAAATATATTTAATTACCAATTGCTTAATGGTGCAATGCAATCATCTGACCCATAGGTGGCAGCCATCTCAAGCCAGAGGACGAGAGGACTCTAGCCGCCACGCATATAAAAGATTTATAGTGAAAAACTTTGTTTTTACGGGTTAATTTTTTGTTGGTGTTTTATGCAGCGAAGATGGAGCAACGTTTGGACGTGTGCCGTGGAATGAAAACAAGATAAGAGCACTGACATGAGAGTATACTGGATAGGACCACCAGGTGGGGCTGATGATACACAAGTACGACATGTTCTCAAGCACTGCATCCCCCAATGTCCTTCATATGCTTGAGCAATGGTGATAATGCAGCGAGGCCGTAATTATAATATTCAGATATGCTCAAAATGTCCCCCCCAATATATTGCTATCAAATAGATTTCTGTTGAAATGATTGTGGTTATGGTTGTGCTTTATTAATCCCTAATCTCTCATTACATACAATGAAACAAAAGGTGAAAAAGTAAAAACA